AACACAAACAATAATTTTTAAGGCTTCTTCTAAAATCCGTCCAAGGTATCAATGTAGAAAACACACCCAGCAGGCAGGCGGAGGATATGGAGGAAATGGCTAACAGCTGGTTTCTCTCTGTGACATTCCATAACATAGCAGCTAGCTAACATTTAGCCGCTTGGCTTCAACAACAGCTTTTAGACTCACCGGTTTGCTTGGGTAAACCCTGGATAAATGAGCCTTAAGGTCTCCAATGGTCCACTTCATATCGACCCCTTCAATGATTTGATCCTCCTGAGCCTGGTTCGGCGTTTTTACGACGAGACTTATCGTCTTTTGTTGAATATCTCCGGAATCCATTTCCAATTTTCGGTCACTTGCTGCGGCTTTGATAGCGTTCAGTACAACAGAACCGGTAGAGCGCGAGTCGAATCGCCGAAAGAAAGGCTGGGAAAAGCGGCAAAACCTTTTAGAACGGAGGAACTTTACGGGCCGAGTAGCGTCTAGAACTGTCTGTGTGCGGCCCGTCATACGGGACTTTACAGGAACAAGGTTGTTTCCAAAACACACTGTGGCTGCTGCTGATTGGCTACATACTCCTCGCGCTCAGACGTGGAGGCTCGTAGAATGTTGGCGATTGGCGCATGCGCACAAATCGGGAGTTTGTTTCAGAGATCGTTTATTTGACAACTTTCACAAAAACAGCTCGCATTGGTCCTTAGGGTTACTCGAAATGTAACACTCTTTTACTACAAATTCTACATCTTTTATAACAAAGACCCACCCTAAATATTTCAATCACTCAGCAATACCAAGACAATTTAATAGGTTTTTCATTTCAGCGTCTCTTTACTCCTTTATTTTTGGAAAGTAATCAAAGTGGGTCCTCGCTTCCTAGCTCTCTACGATCCAGGAAGTAAGTTTTTTAGAAACTATTATTGTTTACTCAGTCAAATTACATCAGCCATGTTACATCAGCTGTAAACTCTCTGCAGGAGTTTTCTAGAATAGTTAAATCTCAATACTATGCAATTGCATTAAAAAGTAAATTTATATCAATCATTAATTTAAAAAAGCTAAATCTGGCTCCATAGATGAATTAATTAATATGCTAGATACAGGAAATAAAAAATGTGATGGAAATTTGGAAAAGCAATAGTCATTATGACATCCTTGAAAGGATTTTATAAAAAAGCTAATTCAACAATTATGGGGGGAATTAGTTTTAAAATGGGTCCTTATTTTCAGTTTATAAGTAGTAAATGCTGACCATATGACAATAGAAATACATTCCAGAAATGTATGCTGTCCATATGAACTTTAAATGTTGAAGTGGATTTCGAATAGCATAAAAGCATTACAATATAACCTTCAAAAGATTTATGAATGTGACGTAACCAAACCTTCATAACTTTTTTGGCAAATGGCTTTTTGCATGTGATGGACCTGTGACCTGTCCTGGATGTACCCCAGATTAAGATGTAAAAAGATGGATGGATGAATGGAAAGTCTTTTGCTTCAGTGCCTTTAACACAAGCTAAAGAGCAATAACTGAATCACTATATACATAGAAGGAAGATGCATATGAGATTAATTAAATTATAATCTAGAAGTTCAGCTGTGATCTGCCATCCCTCTCATGATGCATTGATCTGCTATGTGCAATGTGCTCTCAAGTCTGCCGTTTGCACTATAATCCCTTCAGCGCTCTCCAGAGGCAGTTCTAGACCCAATCTACCAGTAGAGCCTGGCAGAGGACTGTTGTATAGGGGCACAGAACAAATTATTGACATGAAGAAACAGGTCAATATCTCACCATTTAAAGCAGCAATTTCCAAACTTTTCTCAGTAACTGACAGAGTTGTCAAGTAATGAAGTACAAATACTTCGTTGCTGTACTTAAGTAAACTATTTAGGTATCTATACTTTACTCCATTACTTATTTGACTTCCTACTTCTGACTTCTACTCATTACATTTTCACACAAGTATCTGTACTTTCTATTCCTTACATTTTTAAAACAATCGTTACTCGTTACTCTTGGCTTCGGTTTAATGTTTATAAATCTTTATTTCCCGTCATGTTCTCCATCCAATGCAGATCATTGGCTCCACCCACATCTAGTGAAAACTAGTGTGATTGGATGAGTCATAGAACGCAAACACTCATTGGTTAGCTAAAGGAAATCATCAGAAGCCAGCAGGTGTTCTTCAAACTGCTAACGTGAATTGTCTATGCCATGCTACAATGTGGGATTCAGAAAAAGATGTTGACACGTCTGAAAGGTCGGACACAGCGAGAACACATCAGGAGATGGAGACGGAGACCAACAAGACCTCCCTCATCCTTGGACCTATCTTAAAGTATTTTTTGAAATAGTCAACAAATTGACCTTTTAATTCATATAGTGGCATCCTATACTTTTATACTTTAAGTAGTTTTTGGAGCACATACTTTTTCACTTTTACTTGAGTAAAGAGGTCAAGTTGATTCTTCAACTTTTACCAGAGTGTTTTTAAACTGCAGTATCTATACTTCTACTTAAGTAAAAAATTGACACCACTGGTAACTGAAACCTGTAATTATTTCAAGTTTAAGTGTTTATTCTAAGTGTAACTGAATTAAACATTACCATAAGTATTTATTTCTACCACTTCTCAAAGTTGGTAATTTAATTAATTCACTTTTACAATGCCTCACACTCAAGTAATAAAACTGATCCTCACTAGGGGGCGTGCCTTTCACTAATTTAAATGTATAGTAGAGTATTCTCACAAATTTTTGAAAAGATCTGCCCTCTCCACTTTTAAAAATAAAGGCACTCGCACAACCCTGTATCTGCTCTAGAGAGGAAAAACCTATTAACGCATGCAAGAGCGTGCACAAGCCCATTTCTCCTCACGCATGCTCTTTTTAAAAGTTGCTGTTTGCATCGCACATACAAGCTTACTTTCCAAAAGATTTGCAATTTTTCCACTATGTCAGACTCACCACCGGTAAGTGAAAATGGGGACGAGCACGTAGGACAGCTTTACGTAAACATATCACCAGAATGATTGACAATTAGGAGGACCACTGATTTTGATGATCCACCAGGAAAAATAAAATCCTCCACTATACCTACAGTATGGACCACAGGACTGAGGAGCCACCTTCTCCTCCAGTTCTAAAAGAAAAGTAAACTGTGATCCTATCTCAGTATGGCTGAAGCTAAACGTCCAACTGCTTAATTAAAAAAAAAATCACCATTAAAATAAAACTGTTAATTTTTAAATAAAATTGGTCCCAGTCACTATGAGTTACAGTTTTGTAATCGATGGTCATACATCAATATAAAAAGTTGGTTTAGTATTATGTGTTCAGTACAGGAGCCGAAACAGAGGCCAGGACAAGTTCTGCAAGGGCAATGGCCCCTGTTGGCCCCCATCTAGAACCACCCATGATGCTCTCTTAATCTCATATAGTTGTGATTTGATACAGTAAAATGACCAGCATGGAGCAAAAAGAAGCACTTCTAAAAACCAGTTGACATAAATGCACTGATAATAAAATGAAAACTTAAGGTTTTATGATGATGAATTTATTAGGACCAACATCGACATGTTTGAATGCATCTTATTTACATACTTATTTGATTTGATTACTGTTAAGCTTGTAAAAAAAAACTTCAGATAAACTTAATCCTGAATTAGATACAGAATCATTTTCAAAAAGTGCCATAACCTAAATTAACATTCATTTACTTTACACAGTTAAATGGCAAGATATTGAGATAAAAAGTACTTAAAATGATTACGTAAAAATTCAAAAAATATCCACTGGACTTGGTTTTCAAGATTTGAAGACGTTTCTCCACCTCTCTAGGAAGCTTTCTCAATTCAAATGTCTGGATCCACAGTGAGTTTGAGTCTATATGGACAAGGCCTTATATTGCTTGGAAACATTCAAATGGTAACCGATGAATGGGTCGTTTAGTTCCATCGTTAGCCCGTAATATCTGAACCTGTCTATGATTCTAAGGGTCGGTCGTTAAAGGGGGGGATTGCCTCCTGTAATACCTGAAACCTGTCTATGACTGGATTAGATGACTGAGAACCTTCATCAGCATACTTAAAATGATTCAAACTCCTTCATTTTTTTTTATTTAGTGCCATAACAACCACAGATCTCAGTGATTGGTTTGGTAAAATCTAGACCAGCACAAAGTTGCACATATAGCTGAAGTAGAAGGACATGCTAAACGATTTTCTGAAAAGTTTTGTGTGTTTTATATTATATTTGATGTAATCTTTGTAGAACATTTCAGAATTGGACTTCGTCTGAGCTATGGCTCCCAACGGCTTTAGAAATGTAAAGACAGACATTTTAATCAATTCACCAGCATTTGGCAAGAGGAAGATTTAATTTCATAACCAAAACACTGCTTTACTAAAGCTTTATTCCAGATATATCTACTATGTTCCTTTGTCTTCATTTCTGAAACACACAACAAAACACTGAGGTCTTCAGAAAGTAGCTTTGATTATAATAATGTTAAATTACACAGAGGTAAACGGTACAATGAATGTTCAGGACAATCTTCTGCATTGGATTTTGATTTGGGATTTCAGGTGGGATAGAAATGAAAGGGACAGTGTTCATATTTTAAATTAGAAAATTAACACGCATGTCATTTTCTTTTAACTTCACAATTATTCACTACTTATTTAGTACATGTATTTTTGACTCAGTGTTAAAAAGTTTCTTAGGCATCTAAGATAAAAATAGACTTTGATTTAAAATGTCCGATTAATATGTTATGTGGTAATCTATCTATGAGTCAAACTATTAACATTTTCTACCAAACCGGTTCAGGATGAATCAGAAGAAATATATTTTAAAAAGTAGAGCAGAGATTACAATCTCTCAAACCCTTTTAATCTCAAATATTTAAATAGATTAATTCATTTGTCATTTTAAGAATAAATGAAGTGAAGGAAATAAAAAGGTCTAAAATAAGGTGATAGATAAAATTTGTGTGATATTAATTATTACTTTACAAGATCAAGTGTTTTAAAGGAATTTAAGGCACTGCAATGTTTCATAATATCATTGAAACAACATCTTGGAAAAGTCTTATTGGCAGTAGAAAGTGAGAACGCTCTCCTGGTTTCCTCTGACCATCAGAACCGGAGGTCTTAGATCCCGGGACAGGATGTCAAGCCATGCCAGGTACAGAGAATTAGGACACACTCCTCTCCTACCCACCGGCATCGTTCTGTAAGGAGAGACAGCGAAGGACATATATTGGGATTTTCCTCAGGTTTGAACAGTTCTATCTTCTGCACTGAAAAAAAAAAATCAAAATCTAGACAAGTCATTTTTCCTAAAATATGTGCATTTGTTCTTGGATTAAGGAGGTAAAAGAGACATTTAGCCAATGGAACAAGACAATTAACACTTAAAATAAGAAAACACGATTGCGTTGCCTTATTTCAAGTGCATATTATCTAATTATCTTATTTGAAGAGGAAAAACAGTCATTCCATTGGCAAACTATCTTATTTACCTGCTCAAATTAAGGGTAAATACACTTTAAGAATTTTTTTTTACTCATTTCTAGATTGTTTTTCCAGTGTGTTTTGCCAGAAAGAGCACTAAAAAGAGGAAGTATTGCACTCACATCACAATCAGAGCTGCATCTCTGGAGTAATCCTGCAGCACCTCATTCAGACGGATCTGACGAAGGGACTGAAGTTTACACAAAGTGTTAGTAAAATACACAACAGCTTTAATGGAGAAAAATGAAATGTTAGCGGTAAGAATTTCGGACCTTCGCCATGTTCCTCTCCAAGTCTTGGGGAGTGATCATCCAAGGTGCTTCCTGCTGTCTGGGAGGGTCAGAGTCCGAGTCCGAGTCCTGTTTTGGGTTCGGGTCAAGCCTAAAACGACCGATCATGCTCTCGAAATGCTGGACACTGGAAAAAGGCAAGAGTCACAGATTAGATCTAAAATCTATCTAAAATGTTTGCTTGTAGTAAGACCTTGATTGTTGATTCCTGGATGACTTAATCTTTCTTTCACATATGTTTTGTTGTTATTGTTGTTGTTTGTTTTCACATGTCGTTTCAGTTCTTTAGGATTTACAGACATATTTCTTCACAGATCCAATCATAGAGTCAGGTTAAGATCAGGATTTTGACTGAACTCTGCTTGTTTTCTTCCTCAGCCATTCTGTGCAAGATCTGTTGCTGATTTTAAAATCCTCCACCTGTTGCTTAGCGCCATGCTAATGATGTCAGAGAAATATTCCCACATTTGACTGTAAAATATAGTTTACATAGGAGTTCATCCGGGACTAGTTACTGCAAGGTATCCAGGTCCCGCCGCTGCAAATCAAGTCCCATTCTTAACAGCTGGTATAAAGTCTATAACATGTTCATTTAACTTTTTAAAAATTTGTCTTGCATGAATCCTATCCTGGGAAAATTTACTTGAAGACCTCATCCTGGTAAGATTAATCCTCTGCTTGTGAATAATTATTCCCACTGCTGTTTGATGAACTTTAATATATTTAGTAAGGATCCAAAGACCCATCCAAGACTGACAGAGAGCGCCAATTGCTTACCTAAGATTATCACGGATGAATTCTTACACAGTTACCAGGATTGCTATATCACTTGTGGAGTACTGCAAGTTGTACAGCTTCATAGAATACATATTTAATGTATATTTTGTACCGTTACAACAAGCAAGCAGTCTTACTTCACTGGTTGTGGGTTTTCGTAGATGTCAGGAAGAACTTCAACATCCTGGAAACCGAGACGAAACTTCTTGATGAGAGATAAAACCCTAGAAAAACACACAACATTTTAGATGTTTTACTAATGTATTAATTATGAAAAACTATATAAACAAGATGAATAAAATCAAATCATGAAAACAAACATGTTGATAGTAATAATATGTCATATTATAAATATACAAAGTAACTTTTTCAGTAATTTAGTGAATCCAAATGAGCTAAAAAAAAAAACAAAAAAAAAAACTGCCCATGGTGTGTTTGATAAAGACCTTGCTTTATCAAACACACAGATAATTTACATTTAAAATAAGAAAATGCAATTGCCTTGTCTTACTTCAAGTGAATTTTATCTAAATACACTATATTGCCAAAAGTATTTGCTCACCTGCCTTGACTCACATATGAGCTTAAGTGACATCCCGTTCCTAATCCATAGGGTTCAATATGACGTCGGTCCACCCTTTGCAGCTAGAACAGCTTCAACTCTTCTGGGAAGGCTGTCCACAAGGTTTAGGAGTGTGTTTATGGGAATTTTTGACCATTCTTCCAGAAGCGCATTTGTGAGGTCGCACACTGATGTTGGACGAGAAGGCCTGGCTCTCAGTCTCCGCTCTAATTCATCCCAAAGGTGTTCTATCGGGTTGAGGTCAGGACTCTGTGCAGGCCAGTCAAGTTCATCCACACCAGACTCTGTCATCCATGTCTTTATGGACCTTGCTTTGTGCACTGGTGCACAGTCATGTTGGAAGAGGAAGGGGCCAGCTCCAAACTGTTCCCACAAAGTTGGGAGCATGGAATTGTCCAAAATGTCTTGGTATGCTGAAGCATTCAGAGTTCCTTTCACTGGAACTAAGGGGCCAAGCCCAGCTCCTGAAAAACAACCCCACACCATAATCCCCCCTCCAACAAACTTTACACTTGGCACACTGCAGTCAGACAAGTACCGTTCTCCTGGCAACCGCCAAACCCAGACCCGTCCATCAGATTGCCAGATGGAGAAGCGCGATTCGTCACTCCAGAGAACGCGTCTCCACTGCTCTAGAGTCCAGTGGCGGCGTGCTTTACACCACCGCATCCGACGCTTTGCATTGCACTTGGTGATGTATGGCTTGGATGCAGCTGCTCGACCATGGAAACCCATTCCATGAAGCTCTCTGCGCACTGTTCTTGAGCTAATCTGAAGGCCACATGAAGTTTGGAGGTCTGTAGTGATTGACTCTGCAGAAAGTTGGCGACCTCTTCGCACTATGCGCGTCAGCATCCGCTGACCCCGCTCCGTCAGTTTACGTGGCCTACCACTTCGTGGCTGAGTTGCTGTCGTTCCCAAACACTTCCATTTTCTTATAATACAGCTGACAGTTGACTGTGGAATATTTAGGAGCGAGGAAATTTCACGACTGGATTTGTTGCACAGGTGGCATCCTATCACAGTTCCACGCTGGAATTCACTGAGCTCCTGAGAGCGACCCATTCTTTCACAAATGTTTGTAAAAACAGTCTGCATGCCTAGGTGCTTGAATTTATACACCTGTGGCCATGGAAGTGATTGGAACACCTGATTCCAATAATTTGGATGGGTGAGCAAATACTTTTGGCAATATAGTGTATCTTATTTTAAGAGTAAAAAGATCCTCATTCCATTGGCAAATCATCTTATTTACCTACCCAAAATAAGGGTAAATACACTTACCGTACATAAGAAATTTCTACTTATTTCTAGATCGTTTTTTTCCCAGTGCAGTAACTGATTTGAAGACTTGCAAATGAATTAAGGTTATAAACATCTAGTGAACACATTTGTAAAAAACTAAACAAAACCCCCAACATTTGCCAAAATTCATACAAAGCATTATTATGTTGTTGTTTTAAATTGCTGAATGTATGCAAATCTAAATTGTGGCAAGAGGGACTTTTCTTCTCCCTCAATGTTCTTGAACAGCATACTTATCTTTATATTTTATCAGACTATTATGGGCCTACCTTGGTTTGCTCTACATCGGGTCAAGCAGCTGTTAAGAGGAGCTGGTGGAGATAAATCCAGCTGTTTAGAATGTGATCTGGCTAAAAATCTGACCCCTCCAAATAGGGGTAGTGGGAAGGAAGCATAGAAGAAAACTTTTCCATTTATAATGATATTTTAGCTCTAACTTTATCCTTTTTTCCCATGTTTTTTTTTTTTTGCACTTTGAGAAGCTTATATAAAGTTTGCTTTTAAATATTTAGTATTACTGTTACTTTTTTTTGGATGAATATTAATACCTCCAACTACATGGCTCAGAACCCCTCCTTTATTTTATGGCCACTCTCAAACTGCCAGTAGAACACCTAATCAACTAATTTTTAATAGTGCAGAACCAAACTGGTTTGCACATCTCATCATTTGCACTAACAGTCTTTGTAGATCATTGCTAATACACCCGCTTATTGCACATGCAAACAATTCTTTGCCAAAACAATTGAGGTCTTCTTATGTCAGACAAAAAAATTTCAATACTGTGCGCCAAAGCATCTTTAGGGCGCCACACTTGTAAAACCAGCTGTTTACATCTGATTTGAAAATATAAAATGTAAAAAAACAAAACAAACAAAACATACATTTTGAGTGTTTCAAATTAAGTAAAATAGAAAGAAATGTATATTTGCTGCAATGAAATAACACATTTTCTACCTGTTTCTCTCCATAGAAAAGAACACAAAGCTCTATTATGTAAAATAACATTTAGATTCCTTGTTCTTACTCTTCCTTCTGCTCGTCCTTTTTGTTTATTTCTCCCCCAACAAAAACTCGGACCTTACACCTGGCCCAGCGCTTCCTGCGAGTCAGCAGGTATGGCAGCAACAGAGTCAGACCTAAGGATAGACAGATGACCAGCAGGAAATGTGTTGGAAAATCAGGAGACATGAAAGGTTGTGACTGCAGACATGATAATCCCACCTCCATCATCAGACAGCCAGTAAACATCAATGGTCCTCTTCCCTTGTTTTTTCTGGAACACGGTGGTGGGTTGTGGCTCCAGTTCAACCGTGATTGAAGCTGCAAACAATTATAGAGGCAAATTCAGAATAAATATAGAGATTGATGAAAGAGATGCAGCAGTCTGTTTGTGAAGTGATGATGAATGCTGCACATACAAGTTGTGCTTGTTCGAACCAGGGAAGCAGGAGAGGTGATGTCACTATTTTCTGGTCCCCCATCAAAACCTTGGTTAACTGTGACAAGAACACGTGTGAGATCTGTTTCAGCAGCTGGAGCAATGAAGAGTTTATTCATAAAATATCTAAAACGTGTAATTTATGTCAGCAATGGCCTCACCGTGGGACTGAGGTGGATTGGAGACATCTAACCCCTCTTTCATCCTCAGCACACACACTCCATATTGCAGGTCAAAGGCATCACTAAAGAGCAAAAAAAAAAAAAGGAATAGAGGAAGCACCATTTGTCTTTTGAAATAAAATGTGAAAATTTAGATATTTAACTTATTATTTTCTCTGCACTTACTGCAGGATTTCTATGTAGTTGTTTGCAGCCAGAGTTGAGTCACTGCGCCAGTCTTTCTTGAATCCCATCAGCAAAACGTTTGGCTTGATTCGACCCAATCCTGCCCCCTGGTGGGCAGTTAGCGACATAGCAAAAAGTAGGTTTCCCTATTATTAAACACTACCAAGCTATACTGACTCAAAACATTTCAGAGGTGGATTATGGTGCACATACTTCACACTTATGATCATTTAAAAACATAACTATTTAAAAGTAATGCACACATCCTTCAGATTACAGACAGTATAAAAAAGTTGCAGAAAATTGAATAGTGAGGACAAAAATGTGTCAAAAGCATCATTTTTTAAATGGGGGATACTACATTTTCCTTTGTTAAAACAAGTTTTGGATCTTAGGGAGCTCTCTCTCACCTGAAGCAGCATGTTAACTCCACAGCGAAAGTCAGAAGCCACCACTCCTCTATAAAATGACCTAATCTTCCTTTGGTTCAACCAGGAGACGTGTCTGTTGCTGCTTGCCTTCTCTAAAACAGATGGGGACGAGCCCGTCTAAAAAATAAGGAAAGACATGTCGTAAGATGTTAAATTCCACAGCTAAACACTAAGGACATTTTTATGTACTGTGCTTTTACTGCATGAACTACAAGTTTTATGAGGGTATTTTAATCTGTACTCACAGTGACCACATTTCCACACATCATTAAACTGAGGTTCTTTGTGAAACAGTTGACGAGATCCAAGAGAGCCGGTCGACTGCTGGGAGGACCCGTCAGCACCAAACACTGGGGTCTGAAAGTAGAAAAGAAAAGCAAACGTTTAGTTCAGATTCAGAACAGGGAACAGATACTCTAAAGGTAAATGCTAATGTTAAATAATGTAAATACAATTCATAGTGTTGTAAATGAATGGAACATAAGAAAAGGAAGCACACAGAAAAGTCAGATAAGCAACCATAAAGTAAACACTTTTAGTCCATAAAAGTACAATATGAACTCTTGCCAAGTTCATGTTATCTGAATTTAGTAAAATATCAAGAAAACTTCCTCCTTCTCCATAGCAACTGGCTATTTCACTGCAGCCTCCAATTTAAATAACCCTGAACAGCTTTAGGGACTCATTCCTCCGAGCATTTTCCTTGTGTCTGCATCTGTTTTAACACATCATTCAAACCAAAACTCATAACCAGAGTTAATGTTAAGATATTTTTTAAACTCACAGTTTATTCCCAAATATGGATTCTACAAAACATTTCACTTAGTACTGACTTGCATCTAGATTTTCAATAGATATTTTAAGGCAGTGCATTGTAGACTTTTGAATGTGCATTAAAAGAGCATTAAAGGAGGTTTGCATATGTGTTTGGCTGCATTGGATCTACAGAAGTGGACAAACTTTTGCCACATTTTGTAAAAAGTCTTAAATTATTATTTTTTTTTTTTGACAGAAGCAAAAATCTCAGTGGAATATTTTAAAAAGTCTAACCTTTATAGATCTCACTTTTGCATAATTGTATTGCAAATTAATCAGAAAAATCACTGCCAAGCTGATCTCCTTTAAAAAACTGCAGGTAGTCTTCCTTCGCAATTATCACAAGGCTGGAGAATAGAGCGAGAGATCTTTGACCAGAATAAAAAAATCTTTGCAGATCATCCAGACTATTGGGTGTTTTTGTATCCTTTCCTCTCTTTATCCCGCCCCTCAGGTTTAATGCAAATGTAGGTTTTGGGGCTGATACCATTGCTTTGGCAATCAGCAACATTTTTTAAAACCGCCTCCTTCTGAATGACCCTTTTACAAAACATTTTCTGCTTCCTGACACGTTGTATTTATTTAATAAACTTTATTGAGAATATGAAGCAAATAACATTTATTCCACAGGTTCTTTCACTCAGAGGTTCCTCCAGATAGTTGCTTTTGCCCCTCAGCCTTCTGCATCTAAAACTACTCTTCAAAGGTACATATAAGTGTCTAATTTCCCTCGTATATAGTGTAGAAGGCTTCCAGCCATACATATTTGAGCCCTTGCCTCACAACGCTTCCAGTTCTGTTAGCTCTACGCCTGCAGAACACACAGACGTCCATCCCCGTGAACACTGGGACGCAACTCAATGGTAAAGTCAATTATTCTTATTCTTATTTCAACCGTTGCGTATATTAGCTGCAACATATGAATCAAGATGCTATGACCGAAAAAATGTGATTGAAAAATGAGCGTTGATATATGATTTGCTGAATTTAGGTGTTCAGGCTGACGTAGAACTAACTGGCCTGCAGAAGATAACGAGAAAAACCCATAGAATTTTAAGACAGGATTTCTTTTTAACTAGAAATTTTTCTACATTTTGGGACAATATTATGAGGTGCCCCCAGGGACATAAATCAGAATTAACTTGCATATACACATATTAAATTACACTCTTCCATATAATATACTGAAAACCTCACACAAACACTAGTAAAAAGCTCTCACATAAACTAGTGAAAACATTTACCTCTTATATAATCTACTTAAAAGTTCTCATACAAAGTAGTGAGAACTGTTCATATAAACTGGTGAAAAGCTTTACCTTTCATACACACTACTAGAAAGCTTTCATATACACTATTAAAAAGCTCTCATATACACTATTAGAACGCTCTCATATACAGTATTAGAACGCTCTCATATACACTATTAGAACGCTCTCATATACAGTATTAGAAAGCTCTCATATACACTATTAGAAAGCTCTCATAAACACTATTAGAACGCTCTCATATACACTATTAGAACGCTCTCATATACACTATTAGAACGCTCTCATATACACTATTAGAAAGCTCTCATAAACACTATTAGAACGCTCTCATATACACTATTAGAAAGCTCTCATAAACACTATTAGAACGCTCTCATATACACTATTAGAACGCTCTCATAAACACTATTAGAATGCTCTCATATACACTATTAGAAAGCTCTCATAAACACTATTAGAACGCTCTCATATACACTATTAGAAAGCTCTCATAAACACTATTAGAACGCTCTCATATACAGTATTAGAACGCTCTCATATACACTATTAGAACGCTCTCATATACACTATTAGAAAGCTCTCATAAACACTATTAGAACGCTCTCATATACACTATTAGAACGCTCTCATATACACTATTAGAAAGCTCTCATAAACACTATTAGAACGCTCTCATAAACACTATTAGAAAGCTCTCATAAACACTATTAGAACGCTCTCATATACACTATTAGAAAGCTCTCATAAACACTATTAGAACGCTCTCATAAACACTATTAGAAAGCTCTCATAAACACTATTAGAACGCTCTCATATACACTATTAGAAAGCTCTCATAAACACTATTAGAACGCTCTCATATACAGTATTAGAACGCTCTCATATACACTATTAGAACGCTCTCATATACACTATTAGAAAGCTCTCATAAACACTATTAGAACGCTCTCATAAACACTATTAGAACGCTCTCATATACACTATTAGAAAGCTCTCATAAACACTATTAGAACGCTCTCATATACAGTATTAGAACGCTCTCATATACACTATTAGAACGCTCTCATATACACTATTAGAAAGCTCTCATAAACACTATTAGAACGCTCTCATATACACTATTAGAAAGCTCTCATAAACACTATTAGAACGCTCTCATATACAGTATTAGAACGCTCTCATATACACTATTAGAACGCTCTCATAAACACTATTAGAACGCTCTCATATACAGTATTAGAACGCTCTCATATACACTATTAGAACGCTCTCATATACACTATTAGAAAGCTCTCATAAACACTATTAGAACGCTCTCATATACAGTATTAGAACGCTCTCATAAACACTATTAGAACGCTCTCATAAACACTATTAGAACGCTCTCATATACACTATTAGAACGCTCTCATAAACACTATTAGAACGCTCTCATATACACTATTAGAAAGCTCTCATAAACACTATTAGAACGCTCTCATAAACACTATTAGAAAGCTCTCATAAACACTATTAGAACGCTCTCATATACACTATTAGAACGCTCTCATAAACACTATTAGAACGCTCTCATAAACACTATTAGAACGCTCTCATATACACTATTAGAACGCTCTCATAAACACTATTAGAAAGCTCTCATAAACACTATTAGAACGCTCTCATAAACACTATTAGAACGCTCTCATATACACTATTAGAACGCTCTCATAAACACTATTAGAACGCTCTCATAAACACTATTAGAACGCTCTCATATACACTATTAGAAAGCTCTCATAAACACTATTAGAACGCTCTCATATACACTATTAGAAAGCTCTCATAAACACTATTAGAACGCTCTCATATACAGTATTAGAACGCTCTCATATACACTATTAGAACGCTCTCATATACACTATTAGAAAGCTCTCATAAACACTATTAGAACGCTCTCATATACACTATTAGAACGCTCTCATATACACTATTAGAAAGCTCTCATAAACACTATTAGAACGCTCTCATAAACACTATTAGAAAGCTCTCATAAACACTATTAGAACGCTCTCATATACACTATTAGAACGCTCTCATAAACACTATTAGAACGCTCTCATAAACACTATTAGAACGCTCTCATATACACTATTAGAACGCTCTCATAAACACTATTAGAACGCTCTCATATACACTATTAGAAAGCTCTCATAAACACTATTAGAACGCTCTCATATACACTATTAGAAAGCTCTCATAAACACTATTAGAACGCTCTCATATACAGTATTAGAACGCTCTCATATACACTATTAGAACGCTCTCATATACACTATTAGAAAGCTCTCATAAACACTATTAGAACGCTCTCATAAACACTATTAGAACGCTCTCATATACACTATTAGAAAGCTCTCATAAACACTATTAGAACGCTCTCATATACAGTATTAGAACGCTCTCATATACACTATTAGAACGCTCTCATATACACTATTAGAAAGCTCTCATAAACACTATTAGAACGCTCTCATATACACTATTAGAAAGCTCTCATAAACACTATTAGAACGCTCTCATATACAGTATTAGAACGCTCTCATATACACTATTAGAACGCTCTCATAAACACTATTAGAACGCTCTCATATACAGTATTAGAACGCTCTCATATACACTATTAGAACGCTCTCATATACACTATTAGAAAGCTCTCATAAACACTATTAGAACGCTCTCATATACAGTATTAGAACGCTCTCATAAACACTATTAGAACGCTCTCATAAACACTATTAGAACGCTCTCATATACACTATTAGAACGCTCTCATAAACACTATTAGAACGCTCTCATATACACTATTAGAACGCTCTCATAAACACTATTAGAACGCTCTCATAAACACTATTAGAACGCTCTCATAAACACTATTAGAACGCTCTCATATACACTATTAGAACGCTCTCATAAACACTATTAGAAAGCTCTCATATACACTATTAGAACGCTCTCATATACACTATTAGAACGCTCTCATAAACACTATTAGAACGCTCTCATAAACACTATTAGAACGCTCTCATAAACACTATTAGAACGCTCTCATAAACACTATTAGAAAGCTCTCATATACACTATTAGAAAGCTCTCATAAACACTATTAGAACGCTCTCATATACAGTATTAGAACGCTCTCATAAACACTATTAGAACGCTCTCATAAACACTATTAGAACGCTCTCATAAACACTATTAGAACGCTCTCATATACACTATTAGAAAGCTCTCATAAACACTATTAGAACGCTCTCATATACAGTATTAGAACGCTCTCATAAACACTATTAGAACGCTCTCATAAACACTATTAGAACGCTCTCATAAACACTATTAGAACGCTCTCATATACACTATTAGAACGCTCTCATAAACACTATTAGAACGCTCTCATAAACACTATTAGAACGCTCTCATATACACTATTAGAACGCTCTCATAAACACTATTAGAACGCTCTCATATACACTATTAGAACGCTCTCATAAACACTATTAGAACTCTCTCATATACACTATTAGAAAGCTCTCATACACGCTACTAGAAAGCTCTCATATACGCTATTAGAATGCTCTCATATACACTATTAGAACGCTCTCATATACACTATTAGAACGCTAAAATATATGGTCCCCCTCCTTTAATTTAGGCAAACATTGCTCAAATATCACCGAATCCAGATGGTTTGTTGTTGATGAAGAGAGGAATAAACACAGTTTAAGATTTGCAGCTAAATTAATTTGTTTCTATATTATGGAACTGCTATCAGGCACTTCCCATCATCTTATATCAGTAATAAAAAATTATAAATACAAATTTGGTATTTGGTGACTTGACTTTTATTTCTGTCAGGCTGAAGTGAAAAAACTTGGAAAGAGACTGATTCTCTTGGCGTTTAAAATAACAACACAAAACAGCATAAGAAAACCGCATTTAGTTTTTTTATTTTACAATTTTGTAAACAACAGCGGCTGATCAAACTAAATGTCTCAACCTTGTATAATTTTACGACTTTTTATTTAACCAAGAAATGATCCGAAAGGCCTGGGAAATGATCAGATCCGCTTATGTGGCTGCAATGCGCGGCCCGCTCCCGACACAGGTGGAACAGATTTTCACATGGGAACAGAATTTCGCACAACACCGGAAAAGGATCTCTGTTGAAGCAAAAACATAAAAAATAAAGTCGAGTAATGCCCATGCTTCTGTGAGTTGTTTAGCGGATAGCTGAGCATGAATCAATAATTTTATTTAATACAATTTCGGCCGGAGATAGCACAAAATGTACGGAGCTAGCCAGAATGACCTCCGTTTAAAACAACTTCCGGTGTAATGACGTCCTTCCTGTTTCACTGAAACACCTTCCGTTTCAACTGAAATCCGCTAATAGCTTTTCAGTAGTGTGTATGAGAGCTTTCTAGTAGCGTGTATGAGAGCTTTCTAATAGTGTATATGAGAGCTTTCTAATAGTGTATATGAGAGCGTTCTAATAGTGTATATGAGAGCGTTCTAATAGTGTATATGAGAGCGTTCTAATAGTGTATATGAGAGCGTTCTAATAGTGTATATGAGAGCATTCTAATACTGTATATGAGAGCTTTTTAATAGTGTATATGAGAGCGTTCTAATAGTGTATATGAGAGCGTTCTAATAGTGTATATGAGAGCGTTCTAATAGTGTATATGAGAGCTTTTTAATAGTGTATATGAGAGCTTTTTAATAGTGTATATGAGAGCGTTCTAATAGTGTATATGAGAGCATTCTAATACTGTATATGAGAGCTTTTTAATAGTGTATATGAGAGCGTTCTAATAGTGTATATGAGAGCGTTCTAATAGTGTATATGAGAGCGTTCTAATAGTGTATATGAGAGCATTCTAATACTGTATATGAGAGCTTTTTAATAGTGTATATGAGAGCGTTCTAATAGTGTATATGAGAGCGTTCTAATAGTGTATATGAGAGCGTTCTAATAGTGTATATGAGAGCTTTTTAATAGTGTATATGAGAGCTTTTTAATAGTGTATATGAGAGCGTTCTAATAGTGTATATGAGAGCATTCTAATACTGTATATGAGAGCTTTTTAATAGTGTATATGAGAGCGTTCTAATAGTGTATATGAGAGCGTTCTAATAGTGTATATGAGAGCGTTCTAATAGTGTATATGAGAGCATTCTAATACTGTATATGAGAGCTTTTTAATAGTGTATATGAGAGCGTTCTAATAGTGTATATGAGAGCGTTCTAATAGTGTATATGAGAGCGTTCTAATAGTGTATATGAGAGCTTTTTAATAGTGTATATGAGAGCTTTTTAATAGTGTATATGAGAGCGTTCTAATAGTGTATATGAGAGCATTCTAATACTGTATATGAGAGCTTTTTAATAGTGTATATGAGAGCGTTCTAATAGTGTATATGAGAGCGTTCTAATAGTGTATATGAGAGCTTTCTAATACTGTATATGAGAGCTTTTTAATAGTGTATATGAGAGCGTTCTAATACTGTATATGAGAGCGTTCTAATAGTGTATATGAGAGCTTTTTAATAGTGTATATGAAAGCTTTCTAGTAGTGTGTATGAAAGGTAAAGCTTTTCACCAGTTTATATGAACAGTTCTCACTACTTTGTATGAGAGCTTTTAAGTAGATTATATAAGAGGTAAATGTTTTCACTAGTTTATGTGAGAGCTTTTTACTAGTGTTTGTGTGAGGTTTTCAGTATATTATATGGAAGAGTGTAATTTAATATGTGTATATGCAAGTTAATTCTGATTTATGTCCCTGGGGGCACCTCATACAATATCGTCTGATCAACAGTACATTTATATACATGTCTAAGCCAGAATGATTTGACATTTAAATATGACTTCCCTACGACTTTAAGTCCTTTTTACTCATGTTTACCTGGAGTTCCTCAAATGTATCTGTAGGCCTAGTGTAGATGTTATTTAGCAAATACATTTTTTGATCAGAATTTTACAAAACTGCCTCACCTGGCAAATAAACTCGTGTTACGTTGTACTTAAAATTTTTAATACAAGGTTCTAACTATATGCAACATATAGACAGATCTGCTTGACAAGTTAATAAAAGAGAAAATTAAATAACTTTAAAAAGGATTAACTAAAGTATTGTAAAAAGCAACAGCTTTACTATATAAAACAGGTAGAGAGAGGCGAAGCAAAGCGTTTTACTAACCTGTAGTTCTTGACATGATCTTCCACAAGGTTCAGGCCCACACATTGATTCAGTGCCAGGTTATAGGAGCTTGCTTGCACCGAGGAGCCCCAGTTCACATCTAAACCCAGCAAAGGATATGAATGAAGCCCCTAAGATGGCACTATGTTACACCTCTCAACTGTTTATGTGTTTACCTGGCTTTTTGTACAGCGTATATCCCAAGAAAAATATGACAACACCGATTGCAATAAGAGCCGCCCACCAGGTCAGCAGGAACATGATCACGACACAGATCACAGCACACAGCAGCGACAGCCACTTATTGTAGAACCTGAAGGACGGACGCCAACCTGCAAACGCACAAGGATGTTAAAATACAATGCAACATTTATAGTGAAGATCGTACATTTGCTTGGCCACAATATTAAGGAACAGCATAGTATGTATATCGTTTAATGTTTGCATGTCCAATGGATTGCAATGCATTAAAAAAATGATTTCCAACTAAATGTAATTTTTTTTAATTAGCTGCGCTGAAATATTTCAGACTGTCAAGAAAATGTTTTCATTGGAGAGAAACTAGCTAAAAAAAGGTGGTTTCCCGATTATCAGTAAACAAATTTTAAAGGAAAAAATGTAAAACTGCCACCATGAATTTGCAACAACTATAAATATCCCATTTGTATCACTAGATGAGTTTTAGCAGTCCTTTGCATGATTAGTAAGTCAGTAAAGTGTATTTATTAATTGTCTTTTAAAAACAGAACATTGCACAGTGCTGCACAGAAAACCAATATAGCAAGAATTTAAACCAAATACTTAAAAGAATTAAACATATTAGAAAAATAAAAAACAAGATAAAGAAGTATAATAGTAAACACTCAACAAAAGATCTGTTTAAACAATATTTTTGAATGCATTTCAGAGGGTCCACAGAGTCAACTAAATGTAGCTGTAGAGGTAGACTGTTTCACATCCTTGTTGCTGTGGATTGAAAGGCTGAGCCCCTCTTTGTCTTTATTATCATGCACTGATCAACAGTGATAAAAAACAAAGAGATTTCAATTGCTGGAATGTGTCCAAAGTTGGGCTGCAGCATTTTATTAAGGATTGGAAAGCAAAAATGTATCCAAACTAGGGCTGAAACTATTATTTTGCAAATCAATTAATCTGCCAATATATGTTTTTTGATTAATTGATTTATAATCGGATAGCCAAAGATTCTTTAAAGAAGACTTTTTACAAAATTAAACAAAGGTAAACAAGTGAAACTCAAACTTTTTCACTTGAAGAGTTCTGGACAGAGCATACAGTATTGACATTTTTATTTATTTATTTTATATCTTAAATGCATAATATTGATACATTTTTTACAATCGTGGTATGATTACTGCTATAAGTGGGTCGCTCTGTCAGCTAAAGGCATGTTTTACAGTCTCTACACTTCATTGATGATTAATTGATTACTAAATTAGTTGACGATTATTTCAATAATTGATTAATCATGATTAATCTGATTAATTGTTTCAGCCCTAATTCAAACCTGTAAATTGAGCAATACAATAATGTAAGCACAATTAATCTGATTTCCTGAATTATTTTCTCCTTTTTAATCTACTGTTTTTTGCTGGAAAGTCAGACAGCAGAACAGTATCAACAGCCTGTTAAGCTAATGTGCGACAATAGACTTACAATTGAATATCATCTTAATAAAAGTGATAAAAAATAACATTAAAAGATTGAATGATGCCGGCAAAAGAAAGTATATAAAAAGCAAATATGTTTGGACCTCAACCCTTGTAAAAGTCCCACAGGTTGGAGAGGCATTCATGGGAGTGAAAACGTCCTCCCAGAAAAGAAAAGATCAGTCAAGTGCAGAACCACAGATACCATTTGAAACTCTCAAACTATTCAGTAACATGTTATGGTCAGTGGTATCAAAGGCTGTGGAGGGAGAAAGCAAGACAGTTATAGGACACTTCCCTGAATCAGAAGCTATTAAAACATCATTATAAACCTTTAAAGGAACCATCTCAATGCAGACAGATCTGTATCATTTAGGTGAATCCTCTGGATATGGTCAATGAAGACAGAAAAACCAAGAAATGGCTTTGGATTTCTTTTTCCAGACCTTTAGAAATACAGAATATTGTTTAGCATTGTTCTTGGATTTTGTACTGCTTATCAGATATTTGAACCGATTTCACATAGCCAGGAAGGTCCTGTTTCAATGACTTCTTCTTATCTAGTTAACGCCTGAGTAAGGCTGGCATTTTATGTTTTCTCGGGTTTACTTTGCCTAAAAGAAAAAATTGCTTTATATGGAAAAAATATGTGTTTCAGAAAAGACTCAACAAATAAAAGCTGTGTAAGTGCAAATAGTCTTTGACCTACCTGGTGAATTGGTGATGGAAGCATGGAAGCAGCTAAAATTGATCAGAGAGTAGGAGCAGAGGTAGAAGTTTGAGATGATTGGAGCGATGGCGTTCAACTCGGCTGGTAAAAGATAAGAGGAAAAAAAATCTCTGTGTCACAGGTATCTCTTTATTGTAACACTTTATGAGCTTCTGTTTTCTTTCAGACAATAAAATGGTACAACAGGAATAAATCAATTCAGACATAATTTAGGATAATAACTTCCGTCAAAATTATTATGAAAGATTTATCACGAATAGTGATAAACACACCGAATATTTTAATGGTACAGAGTCGTTTTATATGGCTAAAATTAAAAGCCCCAAATCCAGCTGATTATGATAGAGTAAGGTTGTCTGCCCTGATAGTGTTTTGATTGTCCTTTTCTAGCCTAGATAGAACCCCAGCAGTGAGCTGACATGACCAGATATGGTGCAATCTACTGGCTGTACTGCTGAACTACCAGAAAGACAGCTGGCCTCTGACACAACCACTAAATAAGTCCCCTTTGTGCTGACTGGGTTTTAATGCCTCACATTAATGCAACAGCTCAGAGGATAGGGCTTAAAAGCATTTCTAACAACAGTAGCACTATTAGCAAGGACATTTACTCACGTGTCTATCAATTTCACAGCAGATCAGAATACTTCCGTTTTAGTGAACTCCAAACATTAGACTGTTTTCTAGTGTTGCTCTGATGCCAAATTTTTGGCCCCGATACTGAGACTTGGTTGTGCATTATCTACCGATACCATCTGTTTGAAATTGATGTGTGTGTATATATGAAGAACTGCATCCTACTTGGATGTAAAATAATCGCCATCATGGCTTTGTCAGGCTGCTGCCTTCCTTTGTGAAGCAGGAAAAAGACTAATATAAAGAGAATCCAGTAGAACATTTTATTGCCTACCTGGAATGGGTGACAATAGTTGAATAAACTCTTTTGACTCTCAAAATGGTATCTCTGCCCTATTTGTTGGTACTCGCCGATACCGATACCACGATTTTAGTGCTGGATCGGGGCCCCGTCCGATACTGGTATCAGTATCGGTGCAACACTACTGTTTTCTCAGCATAACTTTAGTTTTATCCATCTTGGGATCAAAGATCGTCTTGCATCATTTTACACTCGATCTTGGACTTTTCTTTTCGCTCCCCTCCATTACTTTAGCTTGTTGACCAATTGTACGCATGGCCAGGATGTTTTTAGGATAAAAAGAAAGAGAAAGGCTATATCTCCCAATAAACTGAGAAAAAAGAGGCTTAGATAGAAAATAAACACTTTGCCAGCATAACGCTGTTCTTTATCAAAGACGCATTGTATGCAAACTGAGAGAGTGACTGTTGCAAATATAAAATTAGGTTATTCCAAATGGGCATTCCTTTCAAGCAGACAAGGAACAGGACCCAAGCAAACCATCATGTGAGAAGGGAGAACACAAATGCAGACCCATATGGGTAGTTATGATGTGGGAGTTTGAGAGAGCTATAACTTTTCTACACATAACGTCCAAGCAGCTTCAAACCCCAAAACACATAATCGGTCTCCGCCAGTCACGTGACATTTGTTGCTAAGACGCCATTTTTGGTGGAGAAGACGTAGTGTAAACAACCGCAGCATAGCTAAACGAAGGACTAAAGGATTGAGTTTGTTTCTCTGACTATATAGAAAAAAGTAAGCAGAATGCGAAATTACCGTACCGGCAAAAACTTAATAACGAGGCCAGGGACCGTTACTTGTCGAAACTGTCAGATATTAACGGCATAGATCCTTATGATCTCTGCAGCAAAGACTGGAGCTCCGACGTCACGTCACTGCCTCCGACCTCATCAGTGGACATAACAAACTACCTAGTGTTTGGCATCAGTGCCTACACTTGCGAGGAATTCAAAGCATATAAGTCACTGGAAGCACACGGACAGTTCACAAATGGCTCCTTTTTTGTCTGATTTAGACAGGGGGAACAGATTATAGCAGGTGGCCTGCTATAATTTGTAACTTTAAGAAATAAAGGTCAATCAACTCCAAAGTTTCAGGGGTTAGTTGTCATCGTAAAAGATGCTTATAAGCCAAAAATGAAAAAGCTGGGGCCTTTTTTTGCCTGATTTAGACAGGGGGAACAGATTATAGCAGGTGGCCTGCTATAATTTGTTCCCCCCTTATAACTTTAAGAAATAAAGGTCAATCAACTCCAAAGTTTCAGGGGTTAGTTGTCATCATAAAAGATGCTTATAAGCCAAAAATGAAAAAGCTGGGGCCTTTTTTGCCTGATTTAGACAGGGGGAACAGATTATAGCAGGCAACCTGCTACATTTTGTTCCCCCCTTATAACTTTAAGAAATAAAGGTCAATCAACTCCAAAGTTTCAGGGGTTAGTTGTCATCATAAAAGATGCTTATAAGCCAAAAATGAAAAAGCTGGGGTCTTTTTTGCCTGATTTAGACAGGGGGAACAGATTATAGCAGGCAACCTGCTATATTTTGTTCCCCCCTTATAACTTTAAGAAATAAAGGTCAATCAACTCCAAAGTTTCAGGGGTTAGTTGTCATCATAAAATATGCTTATAAGCTAAAAATGAAAAAGCTGGGGTCTTTTTTGCCTGATTTAGACAGGGGGAACAGATTATAGCAGGCAACCTGCTATAATTTGTTCCCCCCTTATAACTTTAAGAAATAAAGGTCAATCAACTCCAAAGTTTCAGGGGTTAGTTGTCATCATAAAATATGCTTATAAGCTAAAAATGAAAAAGCTGGGGTCTTTTTTGCCTGATTTAGACAGGGGGAACAGATTATAGCAGGTGGCCTGCTATATTTTGTTCCCCCCTTATAACTTTAAGAAATAAAGGTCAATCAACTCCAAAGTTTCAGGGGTTAGTTGTCATCGTAAAAGATGCTTATAAGCCAAAAATGAAAAAGCTGGGGCCTTTTTTTGCCTGATTTAGACAGGGGGAACAGATTATAGCAGGTGGCCTGCTATAATTTGTTCCCCCCTTATAACTTTAAGAAATAAAGGTCAATCAACTCCAAAGTTTCAGGGGTTAGTTGTCATCATAAAAGATGCTTATAAGCCAAAAATGAAAAAGCTGGGGCCTTTTTTGCCTGATTTAGACAGGGGGAACAGATTATAGCAGGCAACCTGCTACATTTTGTTCCCCCCTTATAACTTTAAGAAATAAAGGTCAATCAACTCCAAAGTTTCAGGGGTTAGTTGTCATCATAAAAGATGCTTATAAGCCAAAAATGAAAAAGCTGGGGCCTTTTTTGCCTGATTTAGACAGGGGGAACAGATTATAGCAGGCAACCTGCTATATTTTGTTCCCCCCTTATAACTTTAAGAAATAAAGGTCAATCAACTCCAAAGTTTCAGGGGTTAGTTGTCATCATAAAATATGCTTATAAGCTAAAAATGAAAAAGCTGGGGTCTTTTTTGCCTGATTTAGACAGGGGGAACAGATTATAGCAGGCAACCTGCTATAATTTGTTCCCCCCTTATAACTTTAAGAAATAAAGGTCAATCAACTCCAAAGTTTCAGGGGTTAGTTGTCATCATAAAATATGCTTATAAGCTAAAAATGAAAAAGCTGGGGTCTTTTTTGCCTGATTTAGACAGGGGGAACAGATTATAGCAGGTGGCCTGCTATATTTTGTTCCCCCCTTATAACTTTAAGAAATAAAGGTCAATCAACTCCAAAGTTTCAGGGGTTAGTTGTCATCATAAAATATGCTTATAAGCTAAAAATGAAAAAGCTGGGGTCTTTTTTGCCTGATTTAGACAGGGGGAACAGATTATAGCAGGTGGCCTGCTATATTTTGTTCCCCCCTTATAACTTTAAGAAATAAAGGTCAATCAACTCCAAAGTTTCAGGGGTTAGTTGTCATCATAAAATATGCTTATAAGCTAAAAATGAAAAAGCTGGGGTCTTTTTTGCCTGATTTAGACAGGGGGAACAGATTATAGCAGGCAACCTGCTATATTTTGTTCCCCCCTTATAACTTTAAGAAATAAAGGTCCATCAACAATTGATGTCACTTGGCGGAGACCGATTGCAAAGTTTGATTTGACCCAAAGATCCGGTCACCTGGTGCAAATAGAGTAACTTGTCTATGCTGTTAGGTCCCAGGAGGTCTGTCATCAGTTATACATCAGGAAAAACAAAATAAAGGGATAGCTACTGATGAAGACGTTCTCCTGCTGGACAGGGAGACATGCTGCTCTGAGAGAGGAGTGAAGGCGAGGAGAAACCCAGTCGTTAACGAGGGGTGGAGACCTCCAGGTCCAATTGCCCGTCTTTTAATGCTGTTTATTGCGAACATGACTCAGCCCCCTTTGAACTATAAGCAGTCATTAGGGCACTAACAATCGGTAACTAAGCTGATGGTCCTCTTTTTTATGTCAGCAAATAGTTTCTATCAGTGTTAAACTTGTCGATCCACTATGCAAAGGATGTTTTCAAAAGCAAAGGATGTTCAGTTAACAAGAAATTCAACTTTATTCCATAAGAAAAGAAGGATTCCTTCCTGCTTTGCTTACAATATATCTATATAATAGATATATATTATATAGTATATCATATTTTGAGGTTTTAAAGAATAGATTTTATAAATTAAGATCGCCATAAAGTTTTTACAATACCTGTGGATGCTGTAAGATTTGATGAGTAATTACATTAAAATCGACCTCAATGACTCACCAATGATAATAAAACAGGAGGCAATGATGTATGTCAGCAGGTAAGCTCTGAGGGGTTCTTGGTTTTTGCCATAACCTTTGCCGAAAAAGCCAATGAGAGGGTAAAGGTGATCCTTACACAGACACTATGACAAAGAAGACAAAAGCAACGATATCTCTGTTACATAAAACCAAAATATCATATTATATGCGGCTAGAGCTGTGTTTTTAGAAAATATGTTTGTACCTGGAAAACTTTGGGAGCAGAAACCAGGCATGCCAAAGCTGAAGAAAGGGTTGCTCCAAATATACCAGCAGTAATGAGAGGGGCGAAGGCTGACACCATGCTAAGTGTCTAAACATAGAAAAGGTTTCGTTTATTAAACTCTCTCCTCTTATCAAAACTAATGCATCAGCGGAATATTGGTAAAAATCAGTTCTGAACAATAGCTTAATTCTCTAATTCGATTAACATCTACCAGAAAGTACTAGAAACATCTTCATCATATGATCATCCTTATTAGATTTAAACCGATGTAGATTTCACATCTCCTTTTCACTGCCCTGCACCTTATCATCTACCTTTGTCTATCTCTTTTTAACTCATCTGACATCTAAATTTAAAAACAATTATTCTGTTATTTTTAATAAATTCAAATAACTTTTGCACCAAAGCGAACCTTTTTACAAATGGGATGGAAGGTCAGTGTACAGTGCCAGAGCTGTACTCACCTGATAGTAATTGCTTAGACCATAGGTGCAGGTTTTATTATTGATGCACTCTGAGAAGTCCCATCCATACTGACACGATAAACCAACACAGGACTCCATGGGTGTTGAAGAAGCTAATGTGTCGTTCAGAGAGCCGGAGGCGTCCCGAACCACACATGATCCTGAATAAAAGTTAACACAGGAAGCGGAGATTCCCTAAATTTTTGTTAAAACGTAAACAAAACTATATTAACTATATATTTTTTAAATATTAGTTAAAAAAATAAATAATATGAAATAAAAACAAATATGCTGATATAAAAATAATATCCCTCCCTTTGATAGACGTGTCCTTATATCACAATTTTACTCTTTAGTCTTAGGAAAAAAAAATATTTTTCTCTAGTTGAATCCATCCATCCATCCATCCATCCATCCATCCATCCATCCATCCATCCATCCATCCATCCATCCATCCATCCATCCATCCATCCATCGTCCCCCTGGTCTTCATATACAACTTGCGTGTGTTTATTCTGTGTTTTTACATTCCCACATGTATTTACGTTAGCTGGATGTATACTTGTGTGTATATGAGTAGAACGAAAACAGTTTTTGGCAAGAACTTTACCAACGGTCGCAACGATGACTAGGTAGGAAAAAGTAGTCCAGAATATCGCCATCAACGTCCCTCGAGGAATAGCTACTGCTGGATTCTAGGATGAAGAACATCAGATATAGAATATTACACTACTCTTTCTTTTCTATAAGGTTCACTTCAGGTTAACAATGACTCATCTCTACTTTTATCAGACTTGTTTTGCTAAAGTTGAGAAAGAAAAAAGGTGCAAAGTAGCAGGAGATGCGCTAACATACCCTCAGATCTCCAGAGATGTTAGCTCCTGCCAGGATGCCCGTAGCAGATGGAAAGAAAATGGAGAACATGCCGAAAAAGGTGCCCTCTGGGCCACGCCAGTTCGGGACAAAATTAGTAGCAAAGATAGCAGCTGTTAAAGATGAAATACTGAAATTAGAAAACTATTAGACTCTTGTTAAAATATAATATTTCATTTTAAGTTCTATATTATGCAGATGAGTCCTCCTCTAAGCTGATTGTGGCTAAAATTTATATCCTGTCCTTTGATTATTGGAAAGTTGAAACCTGTAAAACTTTGCATGGGAATCCAACATGCACACTACAACTTATGACCATCAAACATGAGTTTTAAAAAAGGAAACAGTTACCTTTGTAGCTAAAGAATCCTTTGGCTTGTTTCTCCAATGAAGGAGGGATAATGGTTCCCACAATATAACTGGCAAATGATACCATGATGACGAAAAAAAACAAAATCTGGGCCTGAGGAAGACACATTACAAGGTAATGGAAGTTCACAATGCAGACATGCATTTAAGGTAAATATTCCCCAAGAGGGTTTGTTGATTAAAACTTTTTCAAATGGATTATTTATCTTCTCTAAAAGCTAAGGTAAATTGTGCATCTAGTTGAGTTACGAAACATAATTCACACAATTCAACACCTTTTACTGTAGCCAATAAAGCTACATCCTACAAAAAAAATGTTAGAACTGTAAATTTATAGTCTTTTTTACTATTTTTCAAGGCTGCACTTTTAAAAAATATGAAATTGTCCAGAGAGCTGTTCCAAATGAAATTTCTTTTTGTTTTACACTTGTGTAAACAAAATGACAAATAAAATCTGTCTAAGTCTATCCTCAGAAACAACTGCAATGTATACATAACCAACCTAAAAGATTAATTACTCGCTAAATTTGTATATTAAAAGCCAAAATAGAAAGGATAAATAATAAAAGGACTTTCAGGGATTAGAAAAGTTAATGATATAAACACACCATGGTTTAAATGTACACATCTTGTAATTACGAACTGCTTAACAGTGCTATCATGAGTTTGGATGGTAAAAATTCATTTTCCCGAAAAGTCTTAAGTCTCTAATGTGATTTTCCAATCCAGGTCAAGTTTCTTTTAAACCCAACTCAAGTTTATTGATAAAGCCCTTTAAAACAACCACAGGTGCCACAAAGTGCTGTACATATCAGGTTAAGTTAAAATTGTATAAAAACAACATAGAAATTTAGAGGAAATATATAATAAAATGAATTAAAACAAATAAAACCAAATAAAAACAAGAAGTCAAAGTCTAGTCAAAGTCAAGCATTACCATTACGGTTAGAGTACATATGTTGTTGAAATAAGGCACAAAGCCTCAGCAGCATCAGTGTTTCTGTGAAAAACCAAATGAATTTCTTCCCATTTATTCTACCTATCAATTAATACGTTCAGTATTTTTTACGGTATTATAAGCGTTACAGTACCTTAGACGTCTTAAGCTTGGAACCTTTTGCAACAGTTAAACTGACAACAAGAGTCCACTAAGTGGGTTTATTGGTGCTCTGTTTAGTAGGCAGAGTCCTGGCCAATAGCTTACAATCTTTTTAGATGAATCTAAAAACCATAATTGCTGCAATAAACAGAAGCACAGTTTATAAAGCAACGACTTATTACATTTTTATACTTTTCTTTTATAACTTATATACTTACTATGCTACAGGTCTAACTCTTACTGCTTACTGCTGCTTCAAGTTCCTATAAAATGTCTTTTAATTGTTACAGTCCAAACAGCTATCTTGATTAAGTATTATGAATTCTTGGTACTTTTTTCTTTGCAGAAGTATACAGAATACACAGTCCTTTTAGACAGTATTTAAGGTAATTACGGAAATCTGTTTCAATTATAGGTGATATTTTTAAGATCTTATTGATGGATGGATATAAGTTTTGCAAACTTTTTTTCTTTTTACCTCTGGATCCAGAACCAGAAAGGTCTAAGGCCATGTCCCATATATTTATACCCATCAAAGCATTTTTATTTGTAATAAATGTGAAAAATAATAGATTTTTTTGTTTTACTGCTTAGACTGTGCCATAAATGTTCAATTTTAATGACAGAGGAGCTAATAGTGTTGCCTACAGAATGTAGTCAATGTCGTTAAACAGTTTGTAAGGACATATTAAAATCCAGCCTTTGTTTATTCTTTTATGAAAATTTAAATTAATCCAACCTTTGATTCCCAAGCCATGCCAGCCATTGAAAGCCCCAGCAGACATGTTACAGTGATGATCCCGATGATGCGGATGTCATTGGTTCGGTCCACCATGACAGCTCCATGTTCCTGAGGAAAGGTTACATGCAAATAGTCACGATTTACTTTAGTTGATCATTAAAAAGCCTGATTTGAACCTGCATGTGGAGAAAGCTCCTCACCCGCATGAGGTCTACAACAGTCTCAGCAAAGCCCACAGTGTGCATAGCAACAGCTACAGCGTTGGCAAAGGCAAAGATCAGACCAATAGAGCCACCCAGCTCTGGACCAAGGCTTCGACTTATCAGGAAGTAGGTACCACCTGGGAATGATGGAAGCACTCAGAGCTGGTTAGAAGGTTGTGACAGTTTAGCTTTTTAATTCAAACAACTTGTTCTTTAGGAAACAGCCTAGACAAACCTCCTTTGACTTTTCCGTTGGTGGCTATGGCTGATGTCGAGAGCCCTGTGATTCCAGTTATCATAGACGACACCAAAATGATAACCCATGTCAGACCTGTAAAACATAGGAAGCAGTCTGAGCAATTTTTAATGCATCCACTGACAGAACATCTTAAAATGGGTTTGGTTTGGGGGTATTTTAGTAAAAATGCAAAGCTCTGAAAGTTATGTTACTAATTCGTAAGGAACAGATGGATCTGGCAGAACCAGATACATACAAATTGCCTTGAATGTATGTTTGATATATTTACACTTAGGCTGGTTTTGATGTGCAGTTTCTGAACAAGCAGTTCTGGATACAGCTATGTAACTGCATAGACTCAAAATGAAAATCTATGAAACACTGAAAAAAAGTTCTTCCACTGTCTACCCGTATCTCAGAGAATAGACTCGAAAATACTTTTTTCTATAAAGTATATAAATCCTGAATGGTTTCCCTTCAAAATACATTACAGACATGAATCCATCATCCTCTGTGGTCGGAAAATTACATTTCTCTTATTTCAGATATTAATTTATCCTATTTACTCACTATAAAAGTTTTCAATCAGTCTGTTTCACCTGCAAGGCCACACCATTCTCCTGCTTGAGGGTGTTTGTAGACCAGACATAGCTTCTTACCAAAACAAGCCAGATTCTTTCTCAAGGTTTATTCATAACATGTTACTGTTAACCAAAGTATCTGTAATTTGTTTTGACTCTGACTACTTTTCCATTATTGTAAGTAAGGGGGGACACACGTTGCCCAGGCAGAACAGGGCTGATTACTGTGCAAATGGCTGTATGATGAACTGTTCTCTCTTTGCAAAGATATGAAAATAAAGTGCCGACTAAGTGAAATCCATCAATCTCTGTTTCTTTAACTAGGGTGAATAGTTGAATACTTTTTTCCTACTACACTTCTCAGGCTCAAATCTACTCTACATACTGAGAACCAAACATTGAGAAGTTCCACTAATCTGGAATAAACTCCCAGAAAACTCTAAAAAAGCTATAAGATGCTTTAAATCAATGTTAAAAACATCTTTGTTTAGGGTGGCCTTTGACTCTGCCCTCTAAATATATATATATTTTTCAATAATTGTAATTTTTATATCATCCTTTCATTTTAATTATTCACTTTTATTCTTCTTATGCATGTTCCCTCTATGCCACTGCAAGGTATTTATCTTTTTTTCTCCTCATGTACAGCATTTTGAATTGTCTTGCCTCTGAAGTGTGCTGAAACCAATAAACCTTCATTTGCAACAATTTATTTTTATCAGGTCATACTGTAGCTGACTGAATTTATACGATACCAGGATTTCTCTGCATGTGTTTTATTATATTGTGCTTAGACTATATATTGATACCGATAACAAAACGGGCATAATACGTTTATTTTTTTTTTTATTTTTTTTTTACACATACCGATACCAGCCTGAGCTGTGATCCAGGAAAGCCTCAGGTACAAGATCACCCCCCAGATGTTCAGCATGCAACGAATCTGTATATAAAACAAGATGGATTTTTACTACTGTGAAGGAGGAGTAAGATTTTAATAAGTTTAATTATACTTCTGGAATCAGTGATTAAGTTAATAAACTGTTCAAAAAATAGTGCATGGCTCTAATTCAGAAACATGTAGTTGAAATAGACCAATTAGATATTTGAAACCACACTGAGAAACAACAAAAACTCTGAGAAGCATTGGAAAAATCAGTAACTAAACATTGAGGTAGATTCTATGTAACTGCAGCGTGATCAGGTCATGGATCTGTATGCTTGTAATGATGGCCTGAGGGAGTAGAGCTCAATCGAGCGAGGAAATAAGTCACGTAAGGTTTTCTTAGTGCACTCTTGAAAATTGTAGAAGTAAAACCCTTTAGGTCTGTCTTACTGAATGCAGATATTTCTATTGATAAGGGAAAAAAAGAAAAAAAAAATGGAAATAAAACTGTAAACTTTTTATTTTCTTATCTCAACTATTGCCAATTAGACTCAATATAAAATACATGTAAAGATAGAATAATGAAATCAATCGTTTTAAATATCGAGATATTTTGTTATTATATCTCTGAAAGCTACAAAACTGAAAAGCCATTTCTCAAGGGACCTTGTAATGACCTTTTTATGTAAATGGGTTTAAACATGGAACTTTTTCAAAAAGGCAGGACACCAGTGCTCAAGGACAGACCCACCATATGCATAATGCTTTAATCCAGTGACAAACATAGTTAAAGTTTAAATCTTTATTTTTGCATAAACTTCCTTGAAGAGAGGAGAGAAAGAGACAAAAAGTGACACATCATCTACCCAGCCTTTTGAAGTTGCTTCAGAGTTTAGGCAGCTTATCTGCTTTAAGATGCAGCCACCGGACAAATCTTTACAATAAAGTTACTGAGTGCTACTTTTTTACAAGAAGCTACATAGTAAATCCCATCTGTAAAATATTTTATAGGGTACTTGGTATCAACACTTGTTCATACCAAGTAAGGACGCCTGCTGATGCAACTGTAGCTTCTTGGTACATAACAAATTTTAATGAGGAATAGAACAGAAATAACTTTTTATTGTCGCTTCTTGGGGGAAAAAACCTAATGTGCCATTTTACAAGTGACAGGAAAAACAAAATCAAAGGGAAAAGATTTCAGTTAAGGCAAAAGATAAAAACAAACAAAAAAATAAGACACCGTGTTTTGATCAAAGATTTACTCACATATAAAAAAAAATGTGCCACTGAGTCTGATAATCATGAATGATGAAAATGATGATTGTGGATATAAAAACAGCCAACAATTTACAAGAAAATGGAAATACACTGTGCAAATAAGAGAGGGGATGTTAACCCTTTTAGAAAGCCATAAAACATTTCCACAGCCTTGGCTGTTTCACAGGTTATAAAAACAATTAGGATGTATTGTTTGGCTGAAAATTTCACATTGTGAAGTAGAAATCACAGAGTGAAAGGGCACCAGAAAATTAAGCACAACCATCAGTTTTGCTAATCTTTTTTGTAATGTTTTACAAAGATATATTTTTTTTTTCACAGTTCCATTTTTCTTGTTTTATTCTTACTGGTTTGATACAAGCGTTTTATGCCCATTGGAACCTTTCAGATGCACACCTCTGTATGAAATTTATCATAAACACCCATCACTGATTTTGTCCTCTGTTTTTCTGTACCTACCATCACCCCCTGCACCCAGCCGAAGCGGGTAGGTTCAGCTGGTGGTTCCTTCGGCTCCTCTTCATCTTCCTCAGACGTGTCTCCTGTCTGTCCAGCATTCATCTCCTCATACATGGGAGGTTGGGAGTCGTCCTAGTCAAATTAAACTTGAAGTTACATTGATAGACATATAGGAATGTTTATTTCAGGAAAGAAATCTAGAAAAGTTTAACAGATGGTAGGATAAAGGCAACAATCATACAATCCACTTGCTTTAAGTGTTTTTTAGAAGTGGCGATTGAATTAAGCATATTTTCATCTCCCCTATGAAATCCTATCCTATATCCCTTTCTAAGTCCTTTACTCCCTAAACAATTTCTAGCTTCATATATAGTTATTAAGGAGAACCGTATGGCATAAACCATGATGTATTATGTTATAATTGACAAAGCAAATCTGTTTGCCTTTTGTCAGGTTCCAGCACATCAATTCCTGGAGCTATATTGGCAAAATAGAATGAGTAAGAAGTGGTTGAATCAAAAGAACAGCAAAAACTATCCGGAATTTAAGAATCAATAGAAATCAACAATCTGAAAAATATATATTAAAGGGGATTATAACCCCCCCCCCCCCCCCCCAATTTAAATGGTTTCAACTATTAAAGATTTTTAAAGGTAGATTCCTTACCACAGGATTGCCATGCAGCTGGATCAGAGACGGCCTGAAGCGCCTCCGTCGACCCCATGCCTGGGTGTTGGCGTAGAAATCATAGTGTGGAGGGGCATCTAGGGTTTCGTAGCCAGTTAGAGCACCAGATGCACGGGATGCTACACTGCTGCCATCACTGTAGCTCTGATAATAATCAGACTCAACAAACCCCCCGGAGGATGCTTTACCATTCAGTACTGACAATGGAAGGTTAGGTCTATATGCAGACAGGTTAACATTGTCATTGGCAGCTGGAAGCTCCATTTTAAATGTCTTAAAGATCTTTTCTTCTGAGCAGTGTAGGTAAAGGAGTTCTCCCTTCACATTCAGCAGTCAGTAAGTCAATGAAGGTGTTTCTGGAGTCTAAGCTCAATGAGGAAGGCTTTATTACAAGGGCTGGGTTTAAAAGTGACCTCAAAGTGGCAATGCAGGAAGAGCCTGAGGCCATATAAGATGTTCACCTGCTCAATGAAAAGTCAAACAAGACTCATTACAGGAATTATTAAACCTGACAAAGTTTCACATTGAAGGGGTCAGCCAAGAAATCTTGCAAGATTTTTATTCCATGTTTTCCATTCCTTGTTAAACCGTCAGATATTAATGATTAATCTGTGTAATGTTTTTTTTTTGGCCAGAATGTTCATTGTAAAGAGCATAATTACACTCGCCCTGACCAAGCTGTGTAATAACCTTGACTAATGCCAAACAAGGTTGTTAGAGTACAAGTTACTAATAATCATGACTGACAACATGGTGTGCCATCTGGGGCTGAGATCTTTGATACATTATAATATGATATATTAATAAGAAGATAAAAAAGGACATATTTCATACTTTGTGGGAAGCTGTACCCAAGAATAAGCTCTTTGGCAATTTGAAGGTTGTCAGTCCTATTGTAGCCTTCAAAATCTACGCTTCCAATGCCCTCAATATTGAACGTCCTGGCTCAGGGATGGAGTATTTAGATTTTACAAAAAGTGTGTTTGTGTCATTTTTATTCCCCAGTCCCACTGAAGGCAAATGGGTCCCAAATGTTTCATATGGGGGGTCTAATCATCAGGTCAGATTGTCTAAAGCTAGAGAAAACACTTAGATCTGACCCATATCCGACATTTTCCAAGTCACATTTTAGCTACCTTCATATATGTATCTGAATTCGACTTGTATCTAATCCCCTACCAATCCCAACAACCAAGGTGGATTAGATTAGACCTCAACATCATTTTCCATCACAGCTTTGTGCTGCCCAGAGTGAGAGACTGCAAAACAGATGGGGGGCTGGAAGAGTACAGCAAACTGGAGAGACGGGGAGATGTTAGAAATTGTTAAAACTTGTTTCAAACCTAATTGGAAAGCTAAAAAGAAACATCTGAAGGGTCCAATTTTTATTTCATTTTTAACAGTGTCCTGTCTGGCGATGTGGCAATAAGAATAACTGTCTTTTTGCCAAAAAGAGCCCAACAGATTTTGCTTTCACAAGTGGAGCAGTACGGCTATCGCCACAATGTTCCGCTTGATTAATCCATATAAATAGCTTTATTATAATTCATGCAGGGAGTATTACAGATTGGGTCCAATATTGAGAGGACTACATTTTTATCAAGGAGTATGTGATGATCTATGCCCTACTGCAAACATATAGTGGACTGCATCAAGTCTCCTACTTTTGGAGTCCAGATGAGACGGATTTTATAGTAATTAAAAGTTGCCCTCGAAATGGAGCTCTGAATGAACCACCTCTGGAAAGTTAACATCTGTGCCCCACCACTGGTGCATTTATTGATTTTTGTTCTGAAATGGCAGTTAGATCTTTCTAAAATTTCAAAAGAGTTTGATACTTTTTACTCATGCATTTCCCACACAACACTCACTGAGCAGCAATGACTGCTGTTGCGCACTTACATGTACCAACCACCCACTTTTATAGGTTTACCTTTGTGCTGCCTGTGACTACGCTCTTATGAGCGTGGTGGGACAGTTTCGATCCGCAAACTATTCATATTAAAGTGAGATGGAGCCTACATTTTGAAATTATTTGGAATGAACGCACCTATACCCAGAAAAAGATTACTGAAAAAAAATCCAACTTAAGAATCAGCTTTCACCCTTTTACTCATTTAGGGAGAAACCAAATGTTACCCCTGTCAGAATAAAGACATCTTTGAGTAATCTTACTTGCCATGCATTAGGCAGATGACAGGTTTGATTATTTTTTGGGAGGAAAATAAATACATTTTCTTCAAACGCCATTGTCTGAAAATCTACACTCTTTTTGCTTTCTTTTCTTCCCTCGATTCATTTTTTATTTCAAAAGATAAAAACAGAGATTGCGGTCATTTACATATGGCAAAACATTTCCTATTATCTATTAAAAAGCATTTTTGTAAAAAGTTACATTGTAACATTTGCAGCTCTGATCATGTAGCTGGACTGAGGGTAAAATGGCTCTTTGGATTGTTAAAGTTGGAGACCTATGAATCTCTTGTGTACCGAAACTTTTCTGTCTTTGTGGGGTCTTTCCACTGACCTTAATTTCTACCATCTAACCGGGACCCTTACCATAATCATAATCATAACGGGTTTATACCCAGCCCTTGTTTGCATTTCTATCCATGTTAAAACTTTACATTGACTTGCATTAATTTTAGTTGCTGCATTAATGTCTAACCCTGACATTTATGATAATCTTAGTTAATTCACACTGTACCTCTAAACTGACTAAGGTTAAAAATGGGAGTCCATCCCATTAAGACTAGCCTTCAGACCCCATAAGGCCTGTTGGTCCTCAGAAGATAAGCAAATATACCAAAAACAGTCCTAAATGGGCAACAAACACACCCACTCTTCTTGCTATATGTAGTGAGGGCCATATGTCGAAGCACATTGATTTTTCAACCCTTTCTAGCCTCAACCCTAAAAAAAAAAAACCTTTGAGGACCAAACCATATATCCTCACTTTGTAAAAATTCTCACTCCAAAGGTTTGAAAATGAAATTGGTCCTCACTCTGATTCTAAAACGGGAGCAGACCAATTTACCTAGTAGATACTGTATTAAAGGTGAAATGACGGCTTTCACAGAGCCTTTTCTGATCCGTATCAAGCAGTCTGACATTTTTATTTAATGTTCATAAACCAACATGGTAACATCCTGTTTTTATGCAGCTGAACAATACTTGAACTACTGCATCATTACCATGAAAAAGTATTTCCAGTGAAAGGTGTAGATTGGGCACTCTGAACTGCATCTTCACTAGTTTGACATGCTGTTAAATCATTAATCTGGGCTGCAGCAACAGGGATTGGTTGTGAATTTCAAAATTGGAGTTTCAATCCAATTTCTCTGAACCACTAAAAGTTACCTTTCAGGTATATAAACATTTAACTACAATATCAGTTTACTTTAGCAAATATAAAAGCTTGACAAACACTGCAATTCTAACATCACTGAAGAAACCGGTTCCAACCAAGCGTATGCACAAACCCAGAACATTTTCAAAGGCTTAGCTCCGGAAACAGTTTTATGTAACATGCAATGAACCATCAAGGTCACTTCTCATTTTCCTGCTAAGTCGCCTTATGAAGGCAACATTTAAAATGCAAACTTGTAACACTACTCCATTCTGGTAGGTGTTGATTCAAAGTGAAATATTTGCTGGTACTTGGAGTATTAATGTTACAAGGCATTTTAGTTACCATGTAACTTGAACTTTGCAAGATTGACCTGCAATTTCCCAGATTAGAGATACCAACTAGTATTTGGTGAGGTGTTGGGACAATTCAGCCCATTAAGCATCTCTAGACTTAAAGGGGAGGGATAGCTCCATTTTTATTGGAAAACCCCACCTAGCCTAATAGTTCAACAGTAAACATTAAGGGTCCAAACAGAAGAGGACAAGTTATGTCACAGTGAAAAAGGGGTCCTGCTGTGTCACCCCAATTTCCAATGAGTCATTGCGCATCAAGGATTGGGCAGCAATAGTAGAAGACTGATGACTTTTTGTGCAAGAATGAACCTTTCGACTCAAATACCTTTCAGATTACAAGTCACTGAACTTTTAGAAGGAACCACCTTTTAAAAAGACTTGTAAACTGGTTTCTGTATGTCCTAGGTTGCCAGTTCTCAAGTCAAAACACTAATTTTAAGTTCTGCTGGGATTTTGCTACTTTCCTATGACAGAACCAGTTAGAACATCCATGCTGCTGGTTATAGAGTTCACTTTTGAAAGGGAGGGACAACATCTGGAAAGCTTATATGTGAAAGCAGTTTTATTGAAGTTTCAAATACAAGCAATAGAATGAACAGTATAAGCCAAGTTTGTTGGTAAGGTACATAACCTCCAAGTATTAACTCAACTGCATGGCCATAAACACTCACTTAGACCTTGTAAGCTGCTGGCGATGTCTTTGTCCAACAGGGTATTGCCAGAGCATAAAGGCATTTTGATCAGGATTGTATGTTGATTGAGATAGAACTTGAAAAGTACTGGAAGGAAGAGGAATAGAAGTTGCCTCTGCCTTCTGCAAGGAATTGAATTTTTGTGGGACATTAGGGCTCTGTCTTTTAGGTTCATTTTGACTTCTACTTACTGGAGGCTGGCAAGGCATTTGCTTGCAAGGCTGAGGTCTTGCACTTTGGTAGAAGTAGGTTGAGTCTTTAAAATCATCTTTATGGCCAGGCGTAGAAGATGCAGATCCACACAGAGGTTGTACAGCAAAGGGCACCTCTACAGTGTCCTTCCCAGTCCACTTATTCTGGAAAGCCTGCCCAAAAACAGCACCACTGCCATCCGTATCAATCCTTACATCCTGGTTGGCTCCATGATTCTCTTTTGGAAGTTTATTTTGAGTTTGATACCAAGAGGGCGTATTGTGTGGAGTCTGTACATTTACAAAAGGTGCTTCTCTTACACTATTGTGCCAATAGAGATGAGGGCCATAAACTTGTTTATTCCATTCTTGCGGCTGTTCAACAGGAGAAGCATCTGATTTTAGAGAATTAAAGGCTGAAAGGCCAAAAGCGAGCGGCGGATAATGTGGAACTGAAAGAGTCTCAACATTCCGCATGAGATCACTGGATGGTTGGAATGGATTTCTGTAAACTGTAGAGGCAGGTGATACATTATCTGTAGGTCTAGAATTACCTTTACCATTGTTGCTGATGCTGGGCTTCTGAGAACTGTGTGAACTTTGAATTCCTTCAGCTCGAGATGGTTTTGGCTGGATAGATGTGCTCTCGTCCCTCTCCAAGGGGCGGGATGATCCAACACTAAGAGGTTTAGAGAATATCAGTTTTGGAAGCTGAGGTTTGAAAACGTTTGACTTTTTATCTTCCACTTGCTGTTCTCTGGTAGCAGCAGCAGGGACAACTTGCCGACTTTGAAGCCATGAGGAAAAATTTGGTTTAACATCTTTAGGTTTTGAAGGAACAGTCAAGGTAAACCATTTCTTTAGTTGAGGTCGTTTTTCCAGATTTAAATTTGACCATCTCCCTTGAGGTTCTGTTCTTTTGTTCTCAGCATCATCAAGCTCCAAGTAAGGCCGTTTTAATTCTGTCTGTGGCAAATTTGATTGCGGTTTTGTCGACCCTGTGTTTTGATTGAAAAGAGATTCAAAGCTTTGAGGATTGATATTCAAGTAGTTCTTACTTTTAGTGACATTTGGCAACACTGTTTTACGTGGGAATGAAAATTCAATATGCAGACTTGGATATTCAGCTTTACGGTCCTTTTCATTTTTATAATTCGTCACATCTCTGACAATGTTGGCAGCAGAAGTACTGGAACCTCTTTGGAACTGAATGCTGGGAGAACCACCACGTTCAAGACCTTGAGAACCAGCGTTATATTGCAATGGAGACAAATATTGCTTTTGTACAGAAGGTGGAACAATTTGATTGTCCTTTCTTGTGGGGCTCTTGAAGAAATCCAAATTTTCAATATATTTGACAATGGACAGCGATGGAGGATTAGTTGAATCTGGTCTTTGAGCTCCTACATCCTGGCTCAGAGGTTTCTCCAGTTTAATTTGAGGACGTTTATAGTTTAGTGGCTCAGTATTGGAGGCAAGTTTGCCTTGATTAGGTCGTGTATAAATTGACACATATGGCTGGTGCAAAGTTTGCTTGGATCCAGTATCAGGATAAGACCATGTTGAACCATGTTTCTTTGTTTCTTCAGCTGTTGTCTGGCTGAGAGAGGGCCATTTCAATCCAGTCTGAATGGTGCTCAGCCATTTTCCTGGTTCCCCGTAACTGGTCAGAGGAACATTTTTAGGGTCTTTTGGCTTTTCATCAGGACCGCTTATTTTTAATGGCTTCATCGATACAGCTGGGGTAAAGGTAAGGTTGACATGGAGGCCTGAAGCTGAACCATCATCATTTTTCTTTCCAAACTGAGGAACAGTAAAATAGACACTTGACTTGCTTTTAAGTTTAGCGTCAGTCAAGTCTTCAACTCTACTGCCTGAGGTTTTCATTTGGTTTGGACTTAAAAAAGGAAAATCCAGGCTGACCTCAAATCCTCTAGGCCGTGGCAAAGGGTCGATTCTCTGTGGTGAAGGTTGGATTGGAGATAACTGCGACCAACGGTGACCAACTGACTGCCTTGGAGTTAGGCCAATGCTCAAATCTTTGAGAAGAGTCTTTTGGAAGGTTTGCCCTTTACCAAGCTGATTTAAAGACTCTGGGTTAATCTTCGGCAGCCTCAGAGAGCGGACATAATGAAGAGGGCGACGGAAACCATGTGCATCCTGGTTTGGTCCTCTGTCCAGCTGCATTTTGTACCTGGCGTTTGCTGCAAGAACAGACATTCAAGTCAAATGTGTGCATTTACTATACACTGATATAGTTTGAGCTTTTTCTCACTGCAATAGAATAGGAAAGCTAGACTTTCATTTATAGTTTCACCTTAAGTGAATTGAAAATTTTTGTTAAAGGCTTGCAACAAAGCAGACTGATGTTTTTGTAAAGCAAAATATTCAATTCTATACAACAGCACCCCATTTGGAAAATGTGGAAAAAGTTCAATGGTTTTTAAATTGATGTTGCATAGGGGAAATATATACTGTATATAGATGACTCTTGTAGTCACTGGCTGCAACAAATTAAACAATTGCTTTTATTATATCAATGTAAACATTTTCAATAAAATCTAAGGAAAATGGTTCCACATCTGAAGTTCAAACTGCTGATTTGACACAAAATATTTAGCAAGACTATAGATTTGTCTCTTCAATGGATTATTAAACTTTTAAGAGTATATTAGCACAAACCTATGGGCATCGCTAAAATAAAAATTGTACGATTGAAGCACATACTGGATCTCAGTAATGCAAACATGAACAAAGTCCAAACAAGAAGTCTAAACCAATAGCAGAATGGAGAGAAAAAAAAAAAAAAAAAAAAAAATCAAATCTAGCCTGTTTTGGTTGATGTATTGGATCAAGATGAAATTGCTTTAATTTGACAGATTTAAAGATAAACTAGACAACATAGACCAACCACAAACTAATTTCCAGTTTCACAATGTTAATTCTTACAAAGCAACCCACAACTAAATTAATCCCGCATGACTTCCACTAAGGAGACACGTTACGTTACGTAAGGGGATACGTTTTCTGGGCCAAACCTCAGATAAGGCTATGGAAGCACTTGTAGTAAAGGCCCCTGATATTTAGAGCCCATGTTTCCTATGCAAGGTGATAACTTTTTTTTTTTTTTTTGTAGAACATTTGGCTACAGGCCAAATCTCCTTAAATATGCTAAGCAAATTTTGGGCCAAATAAATCTCACATTCCCCAAAGTTGGAAAAAAAATATAAGAGTATCAACTGAAATATAATTTTAATATTGCCTTCTTGCTAGTAGATATCCAACAAATTCATGCATTTTAAACACCGGGACAAATTGTTAAATCCATCTTTTTTAGCAGCCCAAGTCATGAAAAACATCTCTTCTGACCTTCAGGGACACAGAGAAAATAAAGTTTTATTACCGTACTTGAGACTGTGGGTTGCTGGGCCTAAAACATTTTATTACTCCTTTGACCAGTTTATAATGTTGCAAAATTTAAGTCAGAATTACCTGCTTGTAAACTGGAGGCACAAGTCACCTCTTTTACTAGACAAAGCAGCAATATCCTGTGGAAGAAAAAAAAAAAAAAACTTGTTAAATTTTAATCAATAGCACTGAGTAGTTGCAAGATTAAGAGGCAATAAAGAGACAATACACAACTTTGTTCTTATTTACCTTGGAATTATGAAGCCAGCAGCCATGACTGCTGCAGCTGCACTCAATGACCGTCCCCTGAAACCTTCCAGCTACGAGTGCAGAGCTGCCCTGTCAGTTTTAGCTCCAAATGAACAAAATTCAAATTCATCCAGCAGCTACAACAGACAAGGACCTGTAGAAGCCTTTAAGGTAGCAACCAATCATTATAATGAGATGAACAGCAAATTGGGCAAAACAACAACCTCACACAGGTGTGATCACTTATTGTGATTGCTTTGGTGAACCTCATGTAAGCTGCTTTTAGAAAAGTAACCAATAAGGAATAATTTTTTTCAGTCTGAAGTCCTACGTTTTTAGTTCTCAAGTTTATTTTGTTCAGTCTGAGGCTATTAAGACAGAAAAATGTAGAAAAGATTGAGCTTTACATTAACTAGCTAAAATGTTTTATCACAAATATTATTTTTTTGTAATGCAATTAGGGAGAAAGCTTTCCTCAACCTGACAAGACTGCTTAGATAAGATATATATATATATATATATATATATATATATATATATATATATATATATATATATATATATATATATATATATATATAAATATATATATATATATATATATATATATATATATATATATATATATATATATATGAAATGGGATAATAAAGGGGGAACAAAATACTTCTTATAATTGTTTTATTTAAGTTAAACAAAAACAAAAATAAACAAAAAAAGGATTCAATCATTTTCTAAATGTGCCAGGCCTCTAGTCTGTTTGGCCTGGGGGAATTATATGTACCACTCTGCTACCCTGCAGAAAAATTATGGATAGATGGATGCTTTATAAGCTTTGTCCTCCTTTTTCAGTCTGAGGAGTTGGAAGGTGGGTATTTACAAGTATAGGAATTGATATGATATACACTATATATGGATTGTACGCTTCTCTTTCAAGCAAGCCTTAAAGGAATAGTACACCCAAAACATGATTAGCCTTCATTTTCTACTCACCCCCATGCTGAACAACACTCTGGAGTACTTTTTTGATATCTCAAATGCATCTGGAGATCTGGGAGGCTTCTTGCTGTCTGCTGACATTCAAATAATGGAGGTCTATGGCGCCCGAGGCAGAAAGGTCCATAAAAGTCCACAAAAAACGTGTCAATATTCCTCCATACTGCTCGTCCAATGTATTCCAAGTGTCCTGAGTGGGTAGCGTCCAGAATTTACTCGAAACGAAGTCATTTAGAATGTTTTTAAAGCATAAACAGTAGTGTATAGGATTTCCTGAAAGCGCGCGCCGGCGCGTTCATGACGCTACGGAAGCCGGCAGACCAAACCAGATGAAAGTGCGCATTCAGCGTCTGCTCTGCCGATAATGCAAGCGTAGAATAAGAAATGTGCTGTTTACCTGTGCAAAGAAAGAAACAACGAAAGAAAAATGTCGGAGGACTTCAGTGTTGAGGAATAGCATGAGTTCTTTGCCGAGCTGAATGCGCACTTTCATCTGGCTTGGTCTGCCGCGGTTTCCGTAGCGTCATGAACGCGCCGTCGCGTGCTTTCAGGAAATCCTATACACTACTGTTTATGCTCTAAAAACATTCTAAATGACTTCGTTTCGAGTAAATTCTGGACGCTACCCACTCAGGAAACTTGGAATACATTGGACGAGCAGTATGGAGGAATATTGAAACGTTTTTTGTGGACTTTTATCAACCTTTCTGTCTCGGGCGCCATAGACCTCCATTATTTGAATGTCAGCAGACAGCAAGAAGCCTCCCAGATCTCCAGATGCATTTGAGATATCAAAAAAGTACTCCAGAGTGTTGTTCAGCATGGGGGTGAGTAGAAAATGAAGGCTAATCATGTTTTGGGTGTACTATTCCTTTAAGTTATTATGACACCTAGTGTTTGAAATCTGTACAACACAGAATTCATATAGCAGCCTCCGTCTCCCTGCAGAGAATTTTTTGCAGGTTGTCTCTTCAAGCTCATCAAGAGAATCCCAAGAGTGGGTGAAGCAGTAATCAAAGCAAAAGGTGGCTACACTGAAGAACCTAGAATATAAGACATATTTTCAGTTGTTTCACACACAAGTATATAATTCCACATGTGTTAATTCATAGTTTTGATGCCTTCAGTGTGAATCTACAAGTTTCATAGTCATGAAAATAAAGAAAACTCTTTAAATGAGAAGGTGTGTCGAAACGTTTGGTCTGTACTGTATATCAGCAAGTGTTAAACCATTTTCTCTTACCTATCAGACTGTGTGACTCTAAAGGGCCTCACCAATTTCAGATATTCTGATTGACCCTCAGTCCACACTTGAGAGGTACTAGTCACATGTGATAAATTCTGTACTTTCTGGAGGAGTGAATACTGAAAAGTCAATGACTGAATGCAATCAGCAGATAGAAAATATTTAACGATTTGTCTGTATGATATCATTGAATTGTCTTTGGAAAGTGCATTGAGATGACTTGCGTTTTGATTTGCTGCTATAGAAATAAACTGAATTGAATTTAACTTTCATAACAACACCTTTTCTTCTTTACAGTTTCTAAATTATAGATTATATTTAAGTCCCAAAATATACCTCGTAAACCATCCTTTATGGCTGATCAACATGTGTGTTAAATATGGATAGTGAATAAATGTACCAATAAGTAACGTTTTGTTTGTGAGTGTGTGCATGAATGGGTGAATAAATGTTGTGTAAAGCGCTTTGGTTAAGTCTCCTGACTTGAAAAAAAAGGCGCTAAATAAGTACATGCCATTTACCATTTGTATTTTTTTTTTTTACCACTCACAGTCTATGCCAAAAGACAAAAATACTGTGATGGGGATTATTAGCTGATAAAGGTACAATTGTATTTTAACTCGTGGTCTTTTGTGGTTACTTTATACAGTGGATGATTTATGACTCAGATCCACCCTCCTTTGGTTTGAATGAGTAGAGACGATTTCTTGTGTGGTGATTAATAACTATGCTGGTAGCCATAGTCTTAATCAATAAATTGGTGAAGGCACCTAGATTTTATGAGTCGGTGCAGCAGTCCAACCTTTATGTAAAATTCTAAGAACCCCGGTGAGTAGGTAGATTAAAGTTATGATAATTTATCTAATAATCATTAATTGGGTTTTACCCTCCATTTGAATGACCTATTTATTAGCTATAACTTCCAGTTCTAGCTATTTACTATATTCACAATCTTCAGGTAAAATTAAACAACAGTACATTATCCTGTTGTACCACATGAACTTCATACCTGCCAACCAAAAGTACCAATATCTTCAGCTGTCAGATGTTTTCCCAAGAAGAGGATAACAAACTTGTGTTTGTTATCCAAAAATGCAACAACTTGGCAGGTTGCATTGCGGCAGGCTGGTCACCTACATGCCAAGTAGAGACTGAAATTTCTTCGGGAATCCCACGGGTCACGTGATTCCCGTGTGATTCCCGTGGGATTCCCGTGGGATGGGAGTCAGTATTAGTAACGATCACGTGATTGGGACGGTACAGGATTAAACATTAACGGGAGCAGACGGGAGCGGGAGCAGACCAATAGTAACTAAAAAAAACTAGGATCGATGCCAAAAAATAAAATAAAATAGAAAGAAAAAAAATCCAGTACTGGTGCCGGCATTTTGTAGTTTTTTTCCTTGAAGCCTAAACTATAATGTGAGTCAAAAACCACCCAAAAACCACAAGTTTTTCACCCGCGCTCAAAAGAAATTCAGATTCAATGTATTGGCAGAAATCTTATTGAAGACAGCAAGAATGGGAGTGGCGCAGGAGCGGGAGTCATTCTGAATGGGAGCGGGGTGGGAGTGGGAGTAATTTCACCAGGAGTGGGACGGGACAGGATTTAGATTTCTACTCTGGCCCGGGATCGGGACGGGACACCATTTTTTTCTGTGGGAGTGGGACGGGACAGGAGTGAAAATCCACTCCCGTGTCAGTCTCTAATGCCAAATTGCACTGGTTTAAGTCATGGCTTGTATGATGAGAGGAAGTAAATACAAAGTAGAAAAAAATATTTAATAAATAAATCAAGTTTCCCTATTTGGATTAATTCAGCGTACAGATTAATAGAAGCGGTTTTGCCTGTCATAGGTATGAAATAATAAATTACTTTACTTAAATACAAACAAACAATAAGTAGGGTTAAAAGAAATGTTTACATTTGGACAAATGTTAAGAAATTACAAATTTCTTTAAATATGTATTAAAGATGTACACCATTTAAAGCAACACTGCGTAACATTTGACCCAATTAGAGCTTATACAGCACTATGGCACATATTGATGCTCTGTGTGGCTCACCTTCTCAAAATGTTGCCTATGCAACTTGATAGGGTTTGGATCTGTAATGTACTTGGTCTGAGCCAGTCTGAGCTCCCATTAAATACCAGAGCTCGAGTAAACAGGACAATGATCAGATATACTTTAGGTCCTCTGATGTCATTTCTTGATCTAGAGGGGTCAATGTGTTTTTGTAATTACAAATAAATTCACAACTTCTCAATATGCTGGACCACCGTGGTCTGCAATCAGATCCCACAACACAGAAAAAACTGTTTCATTTTGCAACATTTCACAGTTGGCCATAATGGGGGCTAATGCAAGTTCCAAGTGTAGCACCCCTAGTGGCTAAGAGTCACATGGCATTACTTTAACAAGGAATCCAGGAGTTAATGTTGCAGCACCAGCTCCCCTTTAAATGATCAATCTGCTTTTGCAAATGTAATCCATTTAACCTGGGATTACACAAAGAAACTGATTTACTGAAAAAATATGCACAATGCACAAAGTTTTGCATTTTTTTTTAATGAAAGATAAACCAGAACCTGTTTTCTAATTCCTAAGGATAGCAGCAATGCATCAACTGGTTATCAGCTTCAAGAGTAGTGCAGATCACCATGTGGTAGCGCTTTATAAAGGAATGTCTGTTCAGTTTCTTCAGGTTATAATATGACATTATTCACAACAATCAATGTGTAGGAAAAATAAATGATTAACTTCATTTATTTAATGAATCAAACAAAAAAGTTTTTGTTATAGGCATCTGTTTTGGAAATTTTACATTAAGTAGTTATTTTATTATACTCCATTGTCACCCCATCTTTTATCACTAGAAATATGTCAATTGC